CTCTCTTCTGCATGAACGAGAACAGTTCGTCAAGAAACTCCTTCCGCTTTAAGTCATCGCTGAGCTCGTACAGCTGTTGAAAAGAGGGAGAAAAAAGTGTTATTCACGTAATCGATAAAGGCTGCTTTGCATAAGTAATTATATAATTCATTAATAACATGTTCAGATATTTGCAATTTTTCCACGTATTGCCACATATATTCAAGAATTTAATTTATTTTTTCTAAAATAGAATATTGACAACAAAAAAAATGTACAAAAACGTGTCTTTTTTCAGACGAATCAAAACTACAATGTTAATACAGCTAAAATGCAATACAATATACAATCGTCTACACTACCATGCCAGACGCGAAATGTATTCAATCAAAGAAAGGAGGAAGAAGAAGAGAAAGAAGAGAAAGAAGAGGAAGAAGAGGAAGAAGAGGAAGAACAAGAAAACAACAACAAAGTAAATAAAGTAAAAGAACAACAACAACAACAAAACTAACCTCAATCATAAAACAACAAACAAATATCAAAACAAAGGACGTAAATTAACAAAACCAGAAACGAAAATTTCGAGACCGATCCACCAGCCGGCGTCGCGCTCATTAGCCACCTGCACTCGGGTCATAGTAATAAAAAAATGTATAAACTGAACTAAAATAAATGAATCATTTACTGACCCCCCCCCCACCAAAAAAAAATCTTAAAACTAAATAAATAACGATCGCAATACATATAAATATCTATCTACATACTTGTTTTATTAACCAAAACACCAACAAAAAAAATCAATAAGTAAATAACAAAAGAACATGAAAAAAATAAAGAAAATCAAGAAATAAAAAAAAAAACTTTCAGATCGTCGCACCCACGAACCACGTGCATCGGGGCTCGCAATCCGATATCATTTGCATAAACAGAACATCAATTCCCCGACCCGACTCTTGATGACTTAACTGATCATCAGTCCCATTACTCACATGTGCAGACAAATTTTTTCTAGCCTAATTAACTCCCAATAAAAATGTTACCAAATTAACAAATTGGTTGGCTACGTAAAGCTGTCTGTGTAATTATTAAAGGGTGTGATTTTAATTTCATTTCTATTTCTCTTTTTTTTCCTTTTTTTTTTACGAAATGTTCTGTGGCGCAAGTGGGTCAGTCGCCATTGTTCAATATCTGAAGCGATGGTTAGATTCATTTATATATTTTTTTTTCTCTTCCTTTTTCTTTTTAATCAGAGGTTGGTGAAAAGTTTAAATGTTTTTTTTTCTTCTTCTTCTTCTTCCTTTCATTTTGTTTAATCCGAAGTTGCCGAAAATGTAACCCTACTTAATCTATGGCAGCCATATTACATCCATATACAACCTATTACGACCATATACCATGTCCAACCCTATTGCAACCATATCCCAACCTCTTGCAACCCATTAAAACATATTGCAACCATGTCCAACCTACTGCATCTCATTAAACTCCCATAACAACCATTCCGTCCTAATAACGACACAACAACCCATTACCCGCTTACAACTACCACACAACAACCCATTCCGCCCATTTAGCAACGGCACAACAAGCAATTCCGCCCACCCGGTTCGCAGGGACGACGGGGCACCGCTTGGGATGGGCGTGGCAGACTCGGGTGTGGGCGCGGGACCTGGGACTCTTTTAAAAGATGTTCCAATAGTTCATCACGGGCGTGAAGGGTAAAAATGACTTCAATAATTAGCGAGATATCAGCAGTGAGTGAGAGAGGGTGGGTGGGAGAGAGGGAGAGGGGGAAGGGAAGGGGAAGGGGGAGCGGAGGAGGGGGAAGGGAAGGGGGAGGAAGAGGGAGAAGGAGAGAGAAAAAAAGAAAGAAAATTATTTGACTGACGGACTGACTTGACTGACTGACCGAAGAAAACCCGCATCGCTTTTGCCAGAATAAGACCCCGCCCATCTATTTGCAAGGAACTATTACCTGGGCGCAGAGAGACTCGAGTCACACACGCCCGCTGTGCGCTCGCTTAATTGTTTCGTGGGCGGGATGGGCGGGCCGCTACCCTTCCTGGCGTGAAGGAGTGGCTGCAGGACATTGAGATATGGTGTAGAGGGGGGGGGGTGCATCGGTGGGGTAGGGAGGGGAGAGAGGGGAGTCGGGGAGAAAGAGAGAAGGGGAAGAGGGGAGGGAAGGGAGAAAGACGGAGGAGGGGAAGAGGGGGAAATAAGGAGAGGTGAGAGAGAGAGAGAGAGAGAGAGAGAGAGAGAGAGAGAGAGAGAGAGAGAGAGAGAGAGAGAGAGAGAGAGAGAGAGAGAGAGAGAGAGCTGAATGTCCACGTGACTATAAACACAACAAAGTCAGCATACATAAAGAGGGGGAGGAGGGGGGGTAGTGTCACCTGTAAAACAGATGATACAGGAGGAGAAGGGTCGAGGAGGGGAAAAGGGGAGAGCCGCCGAGGGGAGGGAGGGTGTCAAGTGTCACAGAGGCGTGCGGGCGTGGCACTCTCTCGGCTTAATGACTCCTTGGATTGTGACACCGGACACCTGTGCGCTGCGCCAATATCCCCCGCCCCCCCACACACAAACCCTCCGCCAGGGCCGCCTGTCTGCACCTGCGTCGGTATTTTAGAATTATGCTCGTATCCCCTGAGTATATTGTAAAATTATGCTCGTATCCCCTGAGTATATTATAAAATTATGCTCGTATCCCCTGAGTATATTATAAAATTATGCTCGTATCCCCTGAGTATATTATAAAATTATGCTCGTATCCCCTGAGTATATTGTAAAATTATGCTCGTATCCCCTGAGTATATTATAAAATTATGCTCGTATCCCCTGAGTATATTGTAAAATTATGCTCGTATCCCCTGAGTATATTGTAAAATTATGCTCGTATCCCCTGAGTATATTGTAAAATTATGCTCGTATCCCCTGAGTATATTATAAATTTATGCTCGTATCCCCTGAGTATGCTATAGAAATAATACTCGTATCCCCAGAGTATGTTATAAAATCATCCCCTAAATCATGGTCGTATCCCCAGAGTATATCCTATAATTGTGCTCGTATCCCCTGAGAATCCTTTATAATCGTTTTCGTCGCCTCTGAGTACGTTTCAAAGCTATGTTCATACGCTTCGAGTACATTCCAAAACCACGCTCGTAGCCCCTGAGTAAACACTATTCGCATCCGCTGTCTACACCTCATTCGCCGAAAGAAATATGATTATTATAGCGCGCATAATTACCAGCTAACAGTGATGGTCCCCTCGAGGTGTGCGAAGCTGTCTATCCGATCGGGAAATTCAATCACTATTAAAGGTTAATCTTAAAAAGCATCGCTGCCATTAATGTAACGCTGGGGATTGCACATTGCACATATCCTGTCAGATACACCCGTCAGACACACCTTGCAAGACACACCCTACTAACCACATAACCTCATACCACTCACTCGAACCACACTCACACTCGCACTACACTCACACTCGCACTACACTCACACTCGCACTACACTCACACTCGCACTACACTCACACTCGCACTACACTCACACTCGCATTACACTCACACTCGCACCACACTCACTCGCACCACACTTACACTCGCACTACACTTACACTCGCACTACACTTACACTCGCACTACACTCACTCCTCCTTACTCCAACCCGCCCCGCTAGCCTCCACTTGCAGGCCAAGGCGAGTGGAGCGAGTGAAATATATCCGTAATACGGAACAAATCATATTCGCACATCATGCATGTTCAAGCAACTGCATCAAAAACCTGTTCCAGCTCTGAGGTGATATTATTTACATACGGACCGGTTGGCCTGCCACGCAAAGCCGGCCCCGGGTTGTAAGTCTTGATAGGTCTCTTTAATTCACAGCTCGACCCTCCCTCCCTCCCTGCCTCCCTCCCTTTCTCCCTCGCTCCCTCTCTCCCTCCCTCCTGTGCCTCCTTCTCTTCTTCCCTTGCTTCATCCTTCTCTCTCTCCCTCCCTGCTAGCCCTCACTCTCTTCTTCCCTCCCTCCCTCCCTCTCGTCCCTCCCTCCCTCTCGTCCCTCCCTCCCTCCCTCCCTCCCTCTGGCCCGTCTACTCCCTCCTTTCCTCCCTCCTATCCCCTCTACATCCCCCTCGTCCCCCCTTCCCTGCTATCTCTACTTCCCTCCTTCTATCTCTTCTCCTTACTCGTTTATTCATCTTCCTCTATTCCTCTTCCTTCCCTTCATCCTCCTTTTTCCCCTCTTTTTCACTCCATAGAGGGACAGACAAACAGAACGAGAATGAGGGGGGGAAAACTAACATTAGAAAAAGAGAAAACTTGAGAGAGAAAGAGGAAACAGAACGAGAAAGAAAAAGAGAAAATGGAATCGAAAGAATGAAAAAAAACAACCGCGGCGAGAAAACGAATCAGCGTGTATGGAAACCCACTTTCACAATTGTTACCTCCTCCTCCTCCTCCTCCTCCTCCTCCTCCTCCTCCTCCTCCTCCTCCTCCTCCTCCTCCTCCTCCTCCTCCTCCTCCTCCTCCTCCTCCTCCTCCAGCCGATCACTCACCCTCGCGTGCTCACAACGTGTCGATAAGCGATTATAATGCTATGTCATTAAGGCCCAAAATCGCTAAGGATGTCAGTAGGAGTACCGCCCATCCGAGCCGACGCCGCTGGACATTAAACGGGCACCAGCTTTCGACGACCGCGAGCCACGCCGTTGTTTTGAGACGTTTGGGTCGTCGACGTCGGAGGCTCGTTGCAAAGGCGTGTTGCAAAGACTGGGTCGTCCTTCGTGTCGAGATTCCATACCTTCAGTTCTTTCCCATCTCCTCTTTATCAAAAGTTATTCATCATCATCCGATTTTTTTTTTTTCATTCCGAAATCGTTCCTCGTCCTACGTTTCCTTAATTCCTTACCTCGAGCTTCTTTTTTTTTTCATCAGAAGCCTATCCCTTACCTTAACGCTCTCAACCAGTTGTTATTCCTTATCTCAAGTTCCTTCCTTTTTTATTTTCTTATCGGGTGTGTCTTTCGGATAATCTCTCCGTGGAACTTTTCTTGGCAGTTCTCTCTCCCAGTTGCCTTCACCGGAGACCTGAACTGATAGGTCTTCCCCAAAAGTCTTCATCGTCAGTTTTCCTCGATGATCTCCGCTGTGGGTCTTCCTAAGGACCTCCTGTTTCGCATTTACTTTTTTTCTTCATCAAATTTCTCTTTCTTTCTTTTGTTTTTTGGGTTTGCTTTTTTTAATCGAGAAAGAGTCTTGTCATTTGTGTGTGTGCGTGTTTGTTGCAAGTTCGAGACTGAGTTACCGAGGAAAGTGGTTTATCGTAATTTGTAAAAAAAATATACAAACAAACAGACGAGAACCAACGAACCATACAAGACTTTTTTCTTTCTTTTTTTTTACAAGCAACGCCACAGCTGCTAAAGAACCCGCTGTCTCCCGTCGACCCCCGAGGCCATAAGAGACTCAATCCATATGTGACAACATAGGTACAAAGAACAGTGCCTGTTGCCAAGCCTCCTCCCCCAACCCCCCCTATTCACTCCCCACTCCTCCCATCCCCCCTTTTCCTCCCGTTCCCTTCAGCCCTATCTGCAAGCACCTTTCCTCCCTTCTCCCTCCCCCTTCCCTCTTCCCTCCTCCCATCCTCTCCAACCCTCTCCAACCCCCTCCCTCCCCCTACCTCTTCCCTCCCCCCCTTCCTTTACCATTAGAAAGCGGCATGGGAGAGACACACCAGCGAATCCCCCAGGTCGCCATTGTCACACACACGCCCCCTGCACGACATGGAAGTTCCCGCCGCCCTCGCCCACCCCCACCCCCTCCCCCTCCCCCTCCCCCTCCCCCTCCCCCTCTCCCACGCCCAACAAACAGTCATAAGGCCCAGGAAGCGGAGAGCAAACAACAATGATAATCACATGGCAGCGCAAGGAGGGGAAAGGGAGGAGGGAAGGGGGGAGGGAAGGAGGGGGGGGAAGCAGAAGTTGCGACTTATAATAACGGAGATAATGATAGTATTGAAGAGGGAGAGAACGAGATAGGGGGAGGGGAAAGGGGCGGAGAGGAAGGAGGAGATAATGATAGTTTTTTGAGAGAGAGAGAGAGAGAGAGAGAGAGAGAGAGAGAGAGAGAGAGAGAGAGAGAGAGAGAGAGAGAGAGAGAGAGAGAGGAGAGAGAGAGAGAGAGAGGGAAGAGAGAAGGGAGAGAGAGAGAGAGAGAGAGAGAGAGAGAGAGAGAGAGAGAGAGAGAGAGAGAGAGAGAGAGAGAGAGAGAGAGAGAGAGAGAGAGATAGGGAGGAGGAGAGAAACCGAGATGGAAAGGGAGAAAGATAAAGAAGGAGAAAGAGAAAGAGGAGGAGAGAGGGAGGGAGAACGAGAGAAAAGAGAGAGAGAAATAGGGATATAAAGAAAGAAGAGAGAAAGAAATAAAAAAGAGAGAAAAATAGAGAAAAAGAGAAGAGGGGAGGGGGAGTAGAGGAGGGGAGGGGAGTGTCAGTCCGAGGAGAAACCCGACCCGCCCGCCATCCGTCACTTGCCATTTCGGATGCCTCTTTTGCAAAGAAAGACGAGACGAGAAGCGAGGCAGCGCGAGCCGCCAGGAGCATCAGTCATGGCGGAGGCTTCGCTCTTCCCTCCGAACGGGTGCGTCGTCCACGAGCTCAATAATAATAACACTAACAATAATAATATTAATAATAACAATGACAATAATAATAATAATAATAATAATAATAACAGTAATAGTAATAACAGCAACATTACACGCCGTATCGCACCTGCGCCCGTAACTCGCCCTCCAGCCCGCGAGGACAGCGCCTCCGCCCGCGCCACGCCCACGCCCGCGATCCGACCGCAGCCCAAGCGAACGGCTGAGGCATCCCCGGCCGCCCAGCCCACGCGCCCGCCGGAGACCCGTCTCTCACACATTATTACTCACCACAAAATATGTCCTCCAGCAACAGCATGTCAAAAATATCAATTGCCATCTTGAAAGTTTATAATGCAAACGACCCCGAAGGCTGCGCTCGCCTCCCACAAGCGTTCGCTCAGCCGCACCCGCCCGCCGCCCGCGTGGACGATCCTTGGTGGGAGAGGGCGAGGCCGCGCGGCGCCGGGGGAGCGAGCTCGACCGACCCCGCAATGCCATGATCCTGCAATTGATGCCTAACAATTATATGCAATAACAGATCAACTTCCAAACTACGAAACGACTTCGCAATTACTTGCAACAGCCTGATCAGCTTGCAAACCGCCAAGCCACTTCACAATTAACTATAATAATTGATTCAGCTCTTGCCTTGCCAAGCCCATAAATCGACTGCAATAACTGATTGCCTTGCAACACATCAAACGGCCGCAGCGCCCAAGTTGCAAACATAATTCCACTTCCATAAGGCGTATAATAATAAAGCCGAGACATGCAAATGAGGGGGATGACGAACGCTTCTTTCCCCCAGAACCAAATTCAACCCGATTCCTTTATTGCTGAGGGAGCTGTCTTGTTTTTTTTGTTTTTTTTGTTTTTTGTTTTTTTTTACTTTGTCAATCTATCTCGGCTTCGCCCTTCTTTCCTCCCTGTCCGTCGCTTCCCCATATCTCCCTGCCCTCTTTATCTTCCTCCTCTCTACGCCCCCTTCCCTCCACCCCCCCCCCCTCTACCTGTTCCCTCCATCAAGGTCTAGCGCCCTTCGTCTTAATCCCCCCCCCCCCCCCGGCAGACAATGGCAGGGCCGGCCGCCATTAGCATGCATCTCGGCACAAATTGACGGTTGTGACGCGTCCGCGTTCGGGCGGCGGGGCCATCGCGGCCGACGCGCCCGACGCCCGATGGATCCCCGATAGTCGGCCGACCTGTCTGGCGGCGGACGGGCGCTCGGGGCCGATATCGGGCGCGGCGGGTCGGCCCGGTCGGGGCGACGACCCGACGTTGCTCAGGCGGTTGTCGGGCCCCGTAATGGCGCTCTTATGCCCACAATGCTAACTGATGCTCAAGTGCTTACTGATGCCACCGCGCGGACCCCACCACCCCCCACCCCCTCCGGCCACACCACTCCGATCGCTCACAAGACACTTAACCCGCACCCTTGCAAACCACCACCCGCGGCCGTGATAACTCTCGTGCAAAGACTCACTCCGAGGGGGCAGCCTTCGCGCACGGCCCCCCTCATCCTTCGCTCGCGTCTCGGAGCTGCAACCAACCAGCCAACCAACCAACCAATCAATCAATAATAAAAAAAACGAACCCAACGGAAGAAAACCGCGATGAGCCCACCTCACGCGGACGCAACTGCACACGCCCGCCACTGCAGAGCCACTCCCCAGGCGGGCGGAGTCACTCCACTTCCTCCGCAGCCGACAGGAAGATGATGTAATTACCCATCCGAAGAAAACGAAGGCATCCCCGGCCCCCGAGTGCTCGCTGTTCCGGGGAAATGCAAACTGTTTTTTTTTTTCTGCCGTAATGACTGTCGCGCGGGATCCATGAGCGCGAGGAGGGGCGGAACGCGAGCTCCTTACACTCGGAACGAAACCAAAACGGATATATTCACCGCAGACAGAAAGCAAGACATGAGGTACGTTTTGCTATTTGAATTTACAAGCGCGGAGATCTGAATAAATCTTCCGAGCATTTTAAACTATTCAAATGGAGATTTAATCGGGAGGGGGGGTAGGGGGGAATTGAGATGACGCCAGAATATCGCAGACAGGGAACTTAATATCAAGAGCATGTGCCCGTCTGGAAGCAATGAACTTATAGTCTAGAAGAAAAAAAAAACATGTTATTCTGGAAACCCTGTTAGAAAATGATTGCCTGTGTACCCATAGCTAAGAACAAGTAAAAAAAAAAAAAAGAACATAAATATAATCCTGGAAAAACTGCGTGGATAAAAACACAACGAAGAAAATACAATCCAGATGAACAAGAATCCGCAAACCCACCGCCGGTTCTCCCTGTTCTCCAACAAAGGCCCTTCCCAGCGTAGAATCTAGTCAAGAACAAAGAACAGAAATCCTAAAATCCAGCGTTTGTTCTCCGTGCACTCCTCCGAAGTGAAGAACGAGCGAAGAACAGGATGAGGCCCTAATAGTCAAAAATAGAAAAAAAAAACACAAATCCATCACTTAAAGAACAGGATAAGGACCTAACAGTAAAGAATAAAGAACAGAAAAAAATCAACACTTGTTCTCCCTCACTCCCCAGAAGCGAAGAACGAGCTGAAGAACAGCGAAGGACGTGTAAGCTGTTCCCCCGCCACGACACTTACTATATACGGGGACTTGTACGGCTGCCTGCGGGGACTCCTCTGGAAGTCCTCTGCTGTGAAGGGTGACATTGTACCTTCTCTCGGACTCCTACACTCGGCTATCCTTCGGGGAAAACGTCCTTGGTGCGATACCACGACTGTCTATTTCTCTTCGCGCAGGAATAAACTACGCTTCTGCACTTCGCTTTACGCCTCTCACGCAATCCTTCGGGTCTGTGTCTTTCAAGCACTTCCCTTGTTTTACGTCCTTCGTGTATGGCGAGTCAAAGGACCCAATATCACAACCTGTTTTTATCTCTTGAACTGAAATAACAACAACAACAACGCGAGATAAAACGACGGCTACAAATAAACAAGTATATAAAAACACCCTTGCTTTCTTGTCCCGAGACCTGTTTTACTAAGCAAGGAACACGAGCCCAGTGCTCATTTCGTGGCACTCGCTGGCACTTTCGCTATCAGTGCCGGTGCCTGGAGTTACAGATGTTGGGAGGGGGAAGGGTGGGGGGGCGTGGGTACAACAGACCCCCCCAAACACACGCGGACTCGCCACCTCCACCAATGGAATTCCTTGGCGCTGTTAACATTTAGAGAGGCGAGTTTTAGTCGGTTCATTGCGCAATCTGCTCATCCGCCGCGGGCCGCAATAGAAGGCAGAAATAAGGGTTCAACGAGGGAATTACAGGCAGAATTAGGGCTCGACTAAGGGACAGGCGATCACAAATGACGACCCAGCAACTCTTTGTCCCCCAGCAGAGGGATCTGGCGTTATTTTAATCCGCACGCCCCCACCCGCCCCCACACACCACCCGCTTACCACCCGCAGGGGCGGCCACCACACCACGCCCGCAGCACAGTGATAACCTCCCACGCATATGGTCGGCCTTCCTACTGGCTTACACATACATTTTCGCCCCTATGGCTCTCGCTAGAAATGTAAAAGTTTATTATACCTCGGGTCTTTGTGGTGGATTATGACTCTCTTACTAAAGTGAAAGAGAAAAATGTTAAAGATTCAAAATACTGATGTAATCTGCTGTTTTAACTTAGAGGAAAGCAACAGAGTAATAATTATGGCATAAAAGCCGCCAACACATTTTTTTTTTCTCACGACCCATAATTCTGCGTTCATTATGCGCGTCCCGAGAAGTCATTGAACACTGTCACGTTCACTATAACCGTCCTTGCAAACGTCACTTTATATATAAAAGGATGAAGATAACTTCCAGATCCTTCACTCGAAGTTGTACAATCACTGTCACAACAATCACAAAACGCGTTCCACATCTCAGCAGCTCCTCTCCCAGCAACGTTCCACGCCAATCAAACTCGCCCAGCTGATAACACCAAACGTTATTGCATCCACGTTGCACACACGGACGAGTCAATTGCAAGCTCTCCCGCTCACTTGGCAACGCTGGCCGCATCCCCACTCCCTGCTCCGCTATTCTCTAGCTCACGACGTTGAACACATTTGGCTGAAATTAATCTCCTGCACTGACGCTATTAATCACCCCAGAGTTCAGAGGGGCACGAGACACTAAGTTCCTTGATCGCATTCGGATGGCAAATGATCCCCTTCGCAAGTAAGACTCGATCCTCCGTCATGTCCGACTCGATACCTCACGCGGCGGGGGGGTTGCTAGCGCTTATATATTCTTACGGCTTTTTAGTTTCGAGAAGGAGAGAGCGAGGAGCGAGATTATGCTATTCGAGTGAGTGTTCAGCGTAATTTAAATTCCTGCGTTGGGTTTTGAGTTCTTAGGGGACGGAGTATGCGATATAACGATGTTCTTTCGCGAAAATACAGTTCATAACCCGAATGATCCGTCGGCGACATCTGGCAACCATACCGGTTTTGGCGCGCGTCCCAGCTTATGATGCAACAGCCTCACCAGGAAATATCTCCCGCGATTACAACCCGACGCCCGCGGCCTTATTTATAAAAAAAAAAAAAAAAACGAAAACACGCAAAAACAACGCGACGATAAAAAGCGCAGATACACATGTTGCGCATCCCTGCTCCCTTGCGCGCGGACCAACAGGAGTTCAAGACGAGAGCGAGCGAGGAAGGAAGGGCGCGATCCAGCCCGTCGGCGCCGCGCGTTTCCCGGGAATGCAATCATCAATCGTGGGTGACGCGCCGTTTCTCAGAAATAAAGTGAGTCATGATTAAACACTCCGCACGTATCATTTCTCACGAGGGAAGTCCGGGACGGGCGAACGGGTGAGAAATGTGAAAGTGTCACTAACAAAGGAACGCAACTCGGATAACAAATCTCCGCGCCGACACATCATACCAGCGCCGAGGTGACGTTCATTAATGGCCGTCGCGCAATGATGGGGGGACAAAAAAAAACTTAATTAAGTAAGCGTGGAAGTTCGTAAATCACGAAAATCTCAAAATAACATATACCCAGGCATTCACTTTCACGGCGGGTATTCTGGGCGGCCGCGAGTGAATCCTTTGCGATTTCACTTCTCGCTCAAGTTCTCCCGATCTGCCGACATTCCTCGCCGCGACGCCCTCCCGCACTCACCTGGAAGCCTCGGCAGGTGCACAAAGGGCGTTGTGACACCCGCGCTCGGTGCCAGGCCCGCCCGAATCCGCCGCCCTGGCGTCAGGCAAGGTCAACGAGGAGTCAGCTGAAGTTTGCCTGATAATACTATCAAACAATCCCCTCGCACGACAAAAAACAACTGATCAAACAATCAAAGAGAAACCCCCAGGAAAACAGACTAACAAAATAACAAGTGAATAATAAACTCGCGCCATACCAGCTTCTCCTCGCCGACAACCGAATCAAGGAGGAATGTGTCCACGTATGGGCAGAGTCGACCCGCCGAGGCCACGTTTCCGGCCCGGCCTCCAATCCCTCGCCCTTTACAGTCTTACTAAACATTGCAATTAACTTCTCTCTCTCTCTCTCTCTCTCTCTCTCTCTCTCTCTCTCTCTCTCTCTCTCTCTCTCTCTCTTTCGTCAACTAACCGAGAGGATTTTCCCATTACGCGAGAAACTCGATACTTCCTGGACAGACAATAAAATCATACTTTCTAATACTGGGAATTAATGAAACCAGGCCAGCGAGCTCATCGCATGAATCATGTCTAATCACTTACGCATGCTACCCATTAATTTCCCATTCTCTTTATCACGTGTTTTTTTCTCTTCCTCATTCTCTTTCTCTCTCTTTCCTTTTCTTTATGTCTCTCTTTTTCTGTCCCTCTCTCTCTCTGTCTCTCTCTCTCTCTCTCTCTCTCTCTCTCTCTCTCTCTGTCTCTCTCTCTCTCTCTCTGTCTCTCTCTCTCTCTCTCTGTCTCTCTCTCTCTCTCTCTGTCTCTCTCCCTCTCTCTCTCTGTCTCTCTCTCTCTCTCTCTCTCTCTCTCTCTCTCTCTCTCTCTCTCTCTCTCTCTCTCTCTCTCTCTCTCTCTCTCTCTCTCTCTCTCTCTCTCTCTGCGAAATCTTGATCTCTACCGATTTACGTCAGTAGTGGTATTTAGACAGCAACCCTAGAAAAAGCGGGTGAGAAAATTTTATTGAAAACTAGCAGGCGATGAGTGATGATGATCTTGTTTCTTCCCTCTTCCTCGTTCTCTTCTCCCCATCTCCTCTTTTTCCTATCTACCCTTCTCCCCTTTTCCCATCCCTTACATACCCTTCTCCCTTTTCCTCACTCCTTGTGTCCTCCCCTCTCTCCTCTCTCCCCTCTCCCTCTTCTGTCTCCCCTCCCTCTCTCCCCTCCCTCTCTCCCCTTCCTCCCCCCTCTACTCTTCTATCCCCCCTCTCTCCCTTCCCCTCTCCCCCCTCTCCCCCACCACCCACCCACCCCACGGGAGTTTATACCGACCCTATCACTCCGTTTATCATCCTCTCGCGCGTGGGTGTAATGGGAAATACTCGGCAGGAGCGTTAAATATAAACCTCGAGGGCCTCCCATTCCCCGGAAACGCGCCGACCGTTTCGCGTTTTTTTTTTCTTTTTCTTTCTATTTCGACGTCGACGATACACAAACGGAGGCGGGCGCGGAGGAAATGGCTCGGTGGCTCTAAATCTCCTGCAGGACGACGGTGGGACGACGGACGGGCGCGGGGAGCGGAAGGGAGCCTGCTTTGTACGCGAGGCAGGGGGGCGGCGGACTTTCGTGCGGCGGCGGGGTGGACCTCCTCCTCGACTTACAATGGTGTTTATGAGGTATTGCTTGTGTAGACCTTGCTCGTTCTCTCTCTCTCTCTCTCTCTCTCTCTCTCTCTCTCTCTCTCTCTCTCTCTCTCTCTCTCTCTCTCTCTCTCTCTCTCTCTCTCTCTCTCTCTCTCTCTCTCGTTCACCTTCCGTCTCTCTTCCTCCTCTTCCCCGCCGCACTCTCCTCCACCAAATACCACTGACTATAGAAACCGCTGTTTACTTTGCAGGTGCTACTGTTGCTGCTGAGCCTCACCCCCCCCCCCCCCGCCCGCCCCCAGCCCGCCCACCGCCCGCGCCTGCATTTATTTCCTCAGTCAAAAGCCTTTATTTGGCCACTTCGCCTCCGGAGATCAAGACCGGTTGGCGACCTCTTCCTCGCCTTGTCATTCTTCCCGGTTTTATCAATCCCTCCCACTCACCCCCCACCCCTCCTTCTCCACTTCCTTCTCTTCCTCTCCCTTCGTATTTTTTTTACGGTTCTATCTCTCCCCCCTTTCTCTGGCCACTTATTGTCATTTATTCCCTCTTATCTCTGGCTCATTTTCGTCATTTCCTCTTCCTTTCTACTTCCTCCCCTCCCTCCCCTCCCTCCCTCCCTCCCTCCCTCCCTCCCTCCCTCCCTCCCTCCCTCCCTCCCTCCCTCCCTCCCTCCCTCCCTCCCTCCCTCCCTCCTCCCCTTCCCTCAATTTCAATGTTTTATCTCTCTCCCTTTTCCCTGACCACTAATTATCATTTCTTCTATCTTATCTCTAGTCATTTATTGCCATTTCCTCCTCTCCCTATTTCCTTGCTTGGATCTCTTACTGTCATTTCCCAGAGTTTATTTGTCATTTCCCAACCTGGATGGATTTCAAAACATTAAACAGGAGTTTCACATTTTCAATATCAAGAGAGAGAGAGAGGGAGTAGGAGGGAGGGAAGGAGGGAGGGAGGGAGGGAGGGAGGGAGGGAGGGAGGGAGGAAGGGAGGGAGGGAGGGAGGGAGGAAGGGAGGGAGGGAGGGAAAGAGCGAGATTGAGAGGGAGGGAGGGAGGGAGATTGAAAGAGAGAGAGAGAGAGAGAGAGAGAGGGAGAGAGAGGGGGGGGGAAGGATTGAGGGAGGGAAGGATTGAGGGGGAGAGGGTATTAGGTGAGCAAATGAGGGAGGGAGAGAAGGAAGGGAGGGAATCCATCTACCACAGCGCGTCGGCCAAGGGGGACAGGTTGCGTAAGGAGAGAAGAGGGACGCCCTTTGAGAACCACTTG